AACCTCTGAAGAGCAAAAGATGAATTGTTTGAATAGAAGGACACTGAACTAAAACAGAATCCCTAACTGCCAAGGCCCAGAAAGGTTTTAAAAGCTAAATAAATAAAATGACTAAGTGACCAGAGGGCGAGCAAGTTGTAAGAAAGTAGAAAGGGGTTTGGAGTATTTTAGCATCTCTGAATAACTGGCTTTAAATTGGTTAACAACCACAAATCATAAGTATCACTCATAAATGTTGGCCTTTTAATGAATCAGTGAGAACCTTGATCATGGGCTTCTAGCTTCCAGAATGGGGAGAAAATAAATGTCTATTGTTCTTTTTTTAAAAAAGATTTATTGAATATGTTGATAATTTTGACCTTATTTTTAAAGTGTAGGCCCTTGCCTTACAAGAAGTTGATCAAACATGAAATCCTCAGGCAGGCAAATATTCCAATTATGAAACCTCCATTTCTAAGGGGGCATATACTGTCCCAATAATAAAAATAAATGTGAAAAAGTGTTAATTTTTAATAATTATGAGGTTACAACATGTCTTATTTTCATCTGAGAAAGGCTATAGAGTTCTCTAGATCTATAACTCCTGCTCTTTTTTTTCAGTCTAATAGCTATGTACAAAAATGACCAAGAAGCTTGACTGAAAAAATATCAATTCATCATTTTAATATTTCATAACAATGCAAATGGTTTCATTATGTCTACGTATTTGGTTGAGACTCTTGCAAAGAAATGATTTTAAAGAGTTCCAAGTAAAATGAGACTAAAGCAGTTGAAGAATTAAGAGCAATTTCAGATAATTATATTATTATCCTCAAATGTCTGGTTAATTCAAAGTAAATATATTTTTAACATTTCCTTAAATATCTGGATAAATACTCCAGATTTAGCTCTACATTAAATTTGGCAATTATACTATTTTGCACCGACTCAGTCTTGATGTTTTAAAAAAAATTTTTATTATCTAACTTGCCTTAAAAAAATGTCAAAGAAAAGGAATTCTGGAAGTTTAGCTTGGATTTCACATGGAAACATCCCATGACACAGACAAAAAATAAAATGTTTGAGCACAAATGGTCAATGAAAACATGCATTTTCATTATCTTTTCATTCTTGATGAAACTCTTACCAAATAGCAGAAACCCTTGTATAAATTATATTTAAATTTTCACAGCAACCCTTTAAAAGTAGGCATCATTTTCCTTTTGAAATAGCTGAGGAATCAGCTTAGTAGAAGCAGTATGCTTCCCAAGGAGGCATGGGACATCACAGCAGTGATAAGTGGGCTGATTTCCCATGTAGAATTCTCCCGACTCTAATATGTTGTAATTAAAATGTAGGTGTCTTACATACACATTCATGTAAAAAAAAAGAATGTGAAAATGTCTGTGTCCATGTGTGTCTGGGTGTTTATCTGTATAAGCATGCCAACGCCAGGAAAACAAGCCAGGTTTTTAACTATCTGACACAGCAATGACCTATAGTTTCAGACTCGGTCCTTAAGAGGGTCCCCGGGGAACTGAATCCAATGAATGTTCTAAGGCCAGACACACTAATAAAATTCCCAATCTCAGACTCCAACGGCAGCGGTATCTAACATGGGCTAAATGGGGGAAAATAAGCCAAAGTAAATGGTCTTCCTAGGCACAAATTAATTGTATTTTTTTATAGAGACACCAAGTGTGAATGGTTTCTCTCTAATATAATTCAACAATATAAGTGAAAGTAAGGAAAGCAATTAAAAAGTTCTCCGTTGCATTTTTTGTTTTTGTTTTTCATTATTTCATACTTTTATAAAGCCCCACTTATGAGATTTAATATGATGATGCATATTAGCATGTTAAAATTAGGATCAAACACATTGCAAATTGTTTTTCATATTGGGATTTCCTTAAAAGCAAAATACATTGCTTACATGGAGAAGAACTAAACAAGTGATAAAGCAATCTTGTTTCCCCCCTAAAAGGCTACAGAGCAAGTCCTTCTGAACCACAAATAAGAGGTAATGAACTTGGTCAGGATAAGGGAAAAATAACTTATTGAGCTAATACTATATTAAAATGGTAAGAGTATGGAATTTGTGTATGTACTTTTATTTTTAAAATATTGTATTTTTCAAATTTGTCCTTTCAACGTATTTTTTCTTTTATATGAGCAATTTTCAAATTTTGAGGGTGAACCATACCACATTCAAGACTGCAGAACATATCTGTCATAGAAAACACTGAATAGTATTTTCCCACATGCATGAAAAAATATTAAATATATAACAGATGAAAAATAAAATAGGCAGGTTTTCTAAGAACCAAGAATTATCATTAAGAAACGTTAGATGAAGCAAAAATTTGACTCTCTCACTATTTATTCTTTGATCTCTGCCATAAAAACATTAAAAAATATAAATTATAAACTTTTATTTCAATAAGATGTTGTAACATCCAGTTTCATATAAAGAATGCCTGTAAGTGGTGTGTGTGTGTGTGTGTGTGTGTGTATGTGTATA